GGAATAATAAATAAAATTTAGTGAGAATGTATGTATGAGAGTGTCGGAAGAATGTTAGAGTAAATGAAAGCTATAGGGAGGGGTAACAGACGAGAGAAGAACAGGAAGGTCTATTACCACTAATATTATCTATATCTATCTCTCTCTCTCTCTCTCTCTCTCTCTCTATCTATCTATATATATATATATATATATATATATATATATATATATATATATATGTGTGTGTGTGTGTGTGTGTGTGTGTGTGTGAGAGTGTGTGTGTGCACATTTCATTGAATACGACAGACAAGGTACTTTTATCTAGTTTTTTATACTATTTCTCATGCTATGAAATATTATTTTTTCTTTTCAGACGATAAAATAAAAAACTGTCCGAATATGGTTTTTTTTTTATCCGAGCGCTTTCAGCTATATATTTAGTCTTTTTCTAGGATTAAATATTTTACCTGTCAAATACGAAATAGTTTATTGCATCTATGTTCACACACACACACACACACACACACATATATATATATATATATATATATTTTTTTTTTTTTTAAATTACGTCGAAAGTAGGACTCGGTGGCGGCGACTGACTGTTTCATGATTCAACGCATACTGCTGGCCATTTTTTTATTCTGGTTAGTGGCGTATTATTGTTTGTATTGAGGGAGAGGGAGGGAGGGAAGGGGACAGAGAGAGAACGAGAATAACAATTGGTTTCTGTATGTTTTGGCTTATCAATCATTTGGGCGTTATTGAAAGCATATTTACAATTGTAGGAATAATTGTCAGTTTACCTGTAAACAAATATGCAGTTATTGATAAGAAGAGATGAAATGAATGCATGCAAGATTTCACAGCTTCATTATCACTCATTCATAGTCAGCCAATGGACATTTCATCCAAGCCTCGTACCTGGATATAAACAATGTAGTTAATAATATGAAGTGTTCAAATGAATGCATGCAAGATTTCACAGCTCTAGCATTATTCCATCATAATCACCCTATGAACATTTCAGCCCACCCTCTTACCTGGAAAGAAACAATGCAGTTATTAGTATGGAAATTTGAAATGAATGCATGCAAGATTTCATAGGTCTAGCATCACTTCTTCATAGTCAGCCTATGAACATTTCAGCCCAGCGAAGTGCCTCGAAAGAAACAATGCAGTTATTAGTATGGAAATTTGAAATGAATACATGCAAGATTTCATAGGTCTAGCATCATTCCTTCATAGTCAGCCTATGAACATTTCAGCCCAGCCTCGTACCTGGAAAGAAACAATGCAGATATTAGTATGGAAATTTGAAATGAATACATGCAAGATTTCATAGGTCTAGCATCACACCTTCATAGTCAGCCTATGAACATTTCAGCCCAGCCTCGTGCCTCGAAAGAAACAATGCAGTTATTAATAAGAAGAGTTGAAATAAATGAATACACGATTTCACAGCTCGAGAATCACTCCTTAGTGAATCTTTGATATTTTTCAGCTCACTCTGGTATTTTTTGCGAATGATTAATTCAGAATAAGTATTTTTTTTTCAGATAGAAATTATACAAATTAACACCTACTCTTTCAAAATCCTTACTGCGTTTAAGTGAATATAACGTACCCGATTTGATATCGAACATGAATCTCCCATCTCTTATTCGAAGCCAATATCTATCACCCCACCGCACATCCAAAAGCAGGCAGAAAGAGAAAGGAAGAAAGAGGATGAGAGAGAGAGAGAGAGAGAGAGGGGCGAAAGTAATAAGGACGGATATTATCAGAAAGAGAAATTGAAATTACTTAACAGGTTTTGGGTGTTCATTGCTTATACAAAATCACGTGTTCCTTTTATAAAGGTTCCGTGCGGAATTCTTTGAAAAATTAAAAAGAATGAAACACAAACAGTAATTAGTTCTTGGAACTGAGAACTAGAAGCCAATGTAAAATCGAAAATGGAAATTAACCCCCTCTCGAAATATATATATATATATATATATATATATATATATATATATATATATATATATATATATCGTCATAATATAAAGACTTGTGTGAAATGAGTCTTTATCGAAAAAGATGTAAAATGTATTTTGTTTTCTTCTAAGAGAAATCATTATTTAACTTTATAAAGATTTGAAATTAGAATATTTTGTATGATGCCGAACGCTATGATGACACGGCAAGATGTAATATCAAGACATAGATGTTTAATGAATGACCTTTGTTTGATACCTATGTATTACGCAACGCGCAAGCATTATTTCAATAGTTTTTATCTCTCTCGATCTTTCCATATATATATATGTGTGTGTGTGTGTGTGTGCGTGTGTGTTATCTATCTATCTATATATATATATATATATATATATATATACACACATATATCTATCTATCTCTCTCTCTCTCTCTCTCTCTCTCTATATATATATATATATGAAGAAAAATACACTGAAAAAACAAACAAAAATCCTAATATGCGATTACGCTGTTTTAATGTTTAATGTCAACATCGGACGTTTCGGTCTAATAGACCATCTTCAGGACATATTCATAAAACATCATCAGGTCATATTCATAAATATGATCACGTCGTCGTCACGTGGTCGACGTTGTGACGACGACGTGATCATATTTAAACGGAACGCTGATCTCAGTTATCTGTTTGGATTGGTATTGCTTTTATGTATAATCGTCTTTTTCATGTTGAATTGTATATGGTCTATGTTAATTATGTTTTATGAATATGTCCTTTTCAGTATATTTTTCTTCATACTGTCGGATCTATATCCATATATTTGCTTACATATATATATATATATATGTCCGGGAAATTTTCATAGAAAATATGCGTCGTCCGACAGGAATAGAACCTGTAGCTTATACGAAATATATATATATATATATATATATATATATGAAAGGTGTTTCATTAAGACGGATCGAAGTCAGCAGTAAATAAATCAGTGTTATTGGTGAAAATTTAGTTATTTCTCTATTGGATTATGTTATCTAAGTCAACGCAATTATGTGTGAAAAATAATATCGCCAAAATGTCTGCCAAGACTTCGGCGGCACACCACTCGATGGTCAACCTTTGTGATGACGTCTCTGCATATTTCCTCCTCGATTTCACCAATATGTCTTATTATCTCATTCCTCAGCTGTTGAATTGTTGTTGGCTTATTGGCATAAAACTTACTTTTGAGATGACCCCAAAGGAAAAAAAAATCTAATGGCGTCAAGTCACACGATCCTGCTGGCCAATTGATTTCGCTGTTTCGAGAGATGATGTGACCTGTGAACATGTTCATTTTCGTAATTGGCTTCGACAAATTTAACACGTTGTTTGATTGTCAATCTTTCCATGCTTGAAATTGCCAAAGACTTGTGAAATCTGAAAGAAAGTGATAAAAATCATTATACGCTTAAATTTAATTCACATTTAAAATCTGTCCTAGTTATTTGAACAACCTTTATATATGCCGTGTGAAACAGCAAAAATGTCCAAATCGCGTGCCAGGGTAATTGTCCATCCCACAAAATATTTAATATTTAAAAAAAAAAAAACTAATATAATTGAGTTTCTTTTTTCCAGGCTTTCAGATAAGAAGGTTTACCACCTTGACACCATTTGTTGTAAGAATCACTGAGAAACACTTTGAGTTATTCAGCTAGAAAAAGAACAGGTTAAAATTATTGAGCAATGGTGAGAGGAAAAAGACGTTTATTAATGGTAACAACATTCATACTCTTGTTTCCATATTCAATGTCCATTCAAGACCCATCAAGAAAACGGTGAATAAGTTTAAAAAAGATGGAACAGTGAATCAGGATGTTACACTAACAAGCGGGATCATATTTTAACTTAGAGCTATATACATTGTTATTGTTCAAAGTCGAGTCTACTAGTGTTATAAAAACCTGGTAGACTTCCAGTAAGATATCTTTTATCATTTCTAAGTTACTGTTGTAACCCAGAAATGGTTACTGAACGAGGAATAACCAAAATGGAGGTTGGAAATAAAATGGTAATCTTCATAGCATCAACAAAATACAATACTCGCCAGCGGCGTGAAGTAGGTAAACCACTAGTGGTGGACTATATAGAGGGCATAATACCCCCACTTAGAATAGTGTCCAAACTATATATGAGGATTTTGATATACCCATTAGTGATCATAGATACGGTATATAACAGATACAACGGTTCAAATTAGTTACTTCGTTAGAGCTGAAAATTTCAACTAGTGTATGACTCCAGGAATTTCTCTTAAAGCCACTCTTCAGACTTGTCTAATAGTCTAAGTTCTCTGTGGGTCCGTCTACTAAAATCTTCTGTTGGTTCAATTTTGTTTAGGCAAAGTGTTTAGGTCGTTCGCCATGATCAAACAATCGAACCGATCGCCATAATGGATCCATTTCTCATCCCAAGTCACAAGTGGATCCTTCGAAATTCGCTGATGTAGCATCGGACGCCATTTAAAACGCCGAATTCTTTGATATTGACTCAATTCAGGTGGAAACAATTCATCAAGTTTCTTCGCCGAGACAAATTTCTTGAGATGGTTCGATATTGCTGATATGTAGACACCATTATCTGAAATATTTATCTGAAACTTTGTAGTTGATTTTGTTCGACAAGTGTTTTCAGATGTATATTGTTAATAGCAGATGGGCGTCCCTTAAAAACTTGGTCTTCAAGAATCGTATGCCCACTGCGGAACTTCAAGAACCAAAGCTCTACTGCCCGGTCACGTATGCCATGTTAATATTGGCAGCATTCTCACCAAGCTTAGAAATGTAAACTAAACGCATACTTTGATTTTTCATCATGGTTTTATAAAATAATAACGTAATTCATGAATAGATTAATATAACTTTATCTAAGAGGGCACATTATTCATTGGAATGAGTAACAGAGATTTGAGGCAAATATTAAATGTGTATATTAGAACGCAATTAAAATGTTTATTCTAAAATCAGACATGATTTTCCGAATAAACTAATAC